ACAATATGAGTCATATGACAATCTAAAATAGAGCACTTTTTTTAATCCAGTATGATGAGAAATATATTGACACATGGACAAAAACATTCTTTTCTGTAATTCTTTAATTTATTCATAAAACCTGCTTCACATATCTACCTCTGCTCATCACAGATAGCTGATAGATTTCACATCAAAGCTGAAAGATTCTGCAGGATGGTGCTGTGGACTCACAGTTATGTAAACACCCAGCCTACACACAGTGCTGCTTACATCTTTACTCCAGTGTAAAGTAAAACATTAGTAACACTGTGTGTCACTGTAACACTCCAGCTTCAATCCCTGTTAGTCCTGCATCCATCAGACATTAGCACACTCATTTCAGTTGTGTCTCTTACATAAAAGAACCAAATAAAACTGCCTATAACAAACCTCCAGTGACTCCAAATAACCATTACTGGTTATGTATAATGGCTGAAAGCCCTGAAACATCTGCGCCTGGATAGCTGAAAAGAGTGCGAACACTTCCCCTTGGTGGTGGGGCCAAAGTGCAGCAGCAAATGGATTTGGAATGGCTGCACCTGTAAAACCCTCTGTGTGGGTAATTATTTATTCAACTTCAGCTTCCTGTTATTTCATTATCCATAGTGCCAAACATAATTCTATTTGCTTTGTGTAAAGTGTGATAATTGTTTATTATTTAGAAATAAAATGAGGAGTAAGGCAACAGAATCTTTTCATTCACAGTGGGGTTAGCTGTGCCTATGTGCCGGCTGCTGTATTGCTTCTGATAGCCCGCTTAGCTGCAATGTTGTTGGTGTTCATGCTCAGTTTACATAAACTTTCCTTTAACTTTAAGGTGATTGTGGATCTTTTTCCAGGTCTGTGCTCAGTTTGGAGGACGCTGTGAGTTATTCCCTGTTCAGTTGTTTTTTTTCCACTGTTTTCACAGCTGTTAGGGTTGTCAGTGTAGTGCCGGCCTGTAGTGGTTGAGACAAGTGGTCAATTTCACTGATCTGTACAATGTAACCAGCAAAACAGTTTATGCTCCACCTTCTAGTAAGTTCACATCATTTGTGGCTTTGGTGATTGCTGGGCATGCTGGGATTGTATCTCGTCCTTGTCATCTAGTGGGCACCTCCAGTCTGTCCTGTTTTTCAGGGACATAGATATAATGGGCTTCTTTCCCTGTCTTCTCCCCTTTATGGGAGGCAGTCAGACAAGGGGTGTTGCGCGGTGCTTGTTTGTGGTAGGCGTGAGATCAGCAAGGCTTAAAGGTCAGTGGCTTTAGCCTTCTGGTCCTACTGGTCTGACCCCTGATCATGGCCTTGTAGTTGGTTGGAAGGTAATTCAAGCATCAGTCTTTGATCCCATTAATGGGTACATGTTTAAAGGCTGAGCAGATGCCAAAACACTACACAGTGGTTTATAATATTACAAGGAGGTATTTTACAACTCTGGAAAGTTATCACAATCATCACAATCATTACAATCAGTCTGTCTTTTACCAGTAGAAATATGCCGTTCATACTACAAAGCAATCCACCCAACGCATTGGCCTGCCTGATGACGTCGCTTTGCTTTTCAGCCAACACACCTCTAACACATCGAGGTGTTTTTGATCAGCACATTTTAAAACTTTGGGGACAAGCGTGATCATAAGTGAAAGAAACCAACATTGACTGTCAGTGAGAAATGGGAATAGTCTGTTTTGTTCACCATCCATTCACCCCGACCTCCTCCATGTGCATTATTGTTGCTCTAAAATTACATCAACTACTACCTCTTTTGCTCCCATCATTATTCCTAATCCCACTAGAGGCCATTTTGGGGGGCATTTGCTTAAATGACTGATATCGGCCTTCTTCTTGGGATAACAGTCTCCATTTTCTAAAAAGCTGAACCAGGTTCAACTTTCTTCTTTTTGGAGCTGTTGCACTCTTGCTACATTGGCAGAGTGGCTTCATTTAAATGAATGAGGGGGATGCATCATACAGTCTGTCTGAACATGGCTAAAGACTCAATATAGCCCAACAACAACTGGCTGGCTGAGTTTTGGATTTAGATTTGGGCAGTGGTTTTCAAACTGTGGTCCAGGGAACAACAGGGGTCCTTGAATGGGTTGTAAGGGTTTCCCAGCAAAAGGAGGAATATATTATTTTATTTAATGTGCATTTATTGTCCAGGTTGTTGACATAAATACATTTTTTAGAACCCCTGTTTTAGAGTACAGCAGCCATTTATACAGCTGGTACTAGAAGCGATTGATTTGTCATGATTTCTTACATGTAAAAACGTAAGGTGCTCTGCAGCAATGAGGGAGCAAACCTAGAGTCTCGTACATTACTAAAACCCCATTGTTTCCAGAGGCTGCCCTTGAGAAGCCTCTTTCCAAGCATACATGGAGTATACTGCAGTAAAAATGCAGCAAATAAGGCTCAAAAGATGTTAAGTGTTTTCAATTTGTAAGGTAAACTAACTATAACTCACAATATTCCATGCAATATGGATGAAATGCATTAATAATGAGGGGAAGTATGTTGTTGGAGACTGGGCCAATTGCTCAAAGCTTCAAACCCACCAACACAGCCTTTAGATCTAAAGTTTAAGTGCAAAGCAGAGAACTGGACGGAAACCCAGAGGAACCTTTGGTGCAGGTGATGCATCATTAAGCACACTGACCAAATAAGTTAGGCTTTGTTTGCACTTGTGATTAGCTTATTTTCACAGCTACTCTATGCTGAGCCACTTGTAGAACAGGCTGCCTGCAGGCTTGCTCCAGCCTCTGATTTCTTACTCATATTCCAATCCACTTCAACCTAGCTGACAGAAATTCAATTCAGTTTAATGAATGCAGTTTTGTGTGTGTGTGTGTGTGTGTGTGTGTGTGCGCGCATGTTGACACAACCTTTTAACATATAACACTGCTCACTCTTCTGCTGTATATTCAGCAGCTTTCTTTCATTATTGGGGAGGTCTTCATGTTATCTGACCTGCCGACCTGTGGTTAGTCCTGCTTACAAGTCTGGGGATGCCATTTCAATGAGAAAGGCTTTTTCATCAGTGAGTGAAAAGCAATCATAACTTCAATTTCTCTGCTCTTGAGATTGGGGAAACGGACCAGGTGTTTTCTGCTGGCAGCTCCTTTTCTGTTCTTATGAAACACAAATGATCTGTCCTGTGGGTCTTCATCTGGAATTTAGAGTTTTGAGTTGTTCGACCAACCATCGGTTTTGGACTGCTATTTTCTTCATATTCATCTTCTTCTTGGACTGGTTTGAAACAGAGACTCAAGATCGTATGTGTTTGGCAAATGTAACACTATCTTTGGTCACGTTAGCTTAGGTTGTTCCAATAAAGAGCAGGGCAGTACATCTGACATTAGCCTAATAGCATCCAGGATCTTTGACACATTGGCAAAGTACTTCCCAGTGGATGGACTAGTCATGAACTGGGTTTTTTGTAAAACGTATTTTATAAACTAATGTAAGCTAGTTAGGTAGTGATCCTTAGTTTTGGAAATAAACACTTTCATTCTTGTGTTTTGGGTTTTAGAAAGCTAGAAAAAGGCACCTCCAAATTGTTAAGATGGCGAGTATCACTCTTAGTAGAGCTTCAACATACTAATGCAAAGCCTGACAGGTCTGCACGTATGGTTGCTATGTCATATCTTGAAAATGAGACCCCAAGTCTCAATGAGATTATCTGTCTAAAGGCGATTGGAAAATTGCCATACGGGGAAGTGGTTCAGTGAATGGTTAAATTGAGCCTTTATTGTCAAATTTTAGAATTTTCCTCACTACTAGTCCTTGAAGCCATCGTCTTCCCCTTTAGGAGTGATTTAAGGCTCTTTAGTGACTCACTGTATAACCTTTTTTGTTGGATCTTTCCTTCTGTACCAAAAAGATACTGATTCTGCTCATGCAGTAGGAGAGCTCTCCAAGGTCTTCATCTTTCCCCCCACAGAGACCTCAAAGCATGTTACTGAATAGTAAATTCTGTGGTCTAATCAACCAGGGAACAGTGTGTGCACCCACCAGTATCTGCATGCAGAAGGCCTACTGTCCTGTTCTCCTTTGCGCTCAGAGCCAGATATTGGATGGCAGTCAGGATGGAGTAAATGTATAAAGTATCCAGGGAGCATCATCAAGGCACAGCAGTAGCATCCCACTAACCATTTGACGGGACAGTGATGTGTGTTTCAAACATTTCACAATAGGATAACAAGACATGTGTAGAATGCTAAAAAAAAAGGTTCTATGTTGCACCAGTTGGAAGCCAGCTTCCTTCCTTCTCATCCATCTTGTTTGCCAATTTGATCACAACCCCTGTAATGATAGATGGCAAAGTTATCTAGTTGAAAATAACCCAGAAGCTGCTGGTGACCATGGTGTCATTTTGAAATGATCCCTACAACCAATTATTTTCCTCATAAAAAGATCTCACAGAGGTATTGGAAAGCTATTTTTTGTGTGTGTGTGTCATGTGTGTGTGTGTGTGTGTGTGTGTGTGTGTGTGTGCGCGTGTGTGTGCACTATGCTAAATAGCTTGGCAGCCATGGTGTTGGTAAATGATGCAACTCCCTGAAACAAATGTCTTCATCATAACAAAAGGTGTGTGTGTGTGTGTGTGTGTGTGTGTGTGTGTGTGTGTGTGTGTGTGTGTGTGTGTGTGTGTGTGTGTCAGTGCACATAGAAACATAGATAGTACAGTGTGCTGAGAACATCACAGTGATAAAAGAGTGCCTCGCAGCAGAGGCCAAGCCCTTATTACACCAACTGTGGTCACAAAAAGCCAACCATAATACAGCTATAGGACACTGGACTCGCTTTCCAAAGTAATTCCTTCCCCTTCAGCAGCCCTTGAAAGCACCATTTAGTCTGGTTCAGTCTCGTCTGTAATCTGTTATAAGCAGTTTTTCTTCAAGTGTTTCAGTTTTTTTTATTTCTCTGCTCCTGTTGCCTTGCTTTCTATGTGTGCAGATCATTAATTATGTTTTGTTTTTTTCTTTTGTCTTTCAGAATAAAGTAATGAGCATCGACGCTGTAAAGGTGAAACTGCAGGTAAGAACAATATATTTCTATCTTAATTATTTTAGACTATTTAAATGGAGAGTCTACTTTCATTTCTGTCAAAGTGAGGTTATGTGTGTTTTCTTTTTAATAACTAATCACCAGCAACGGTTTCCCATGGCGTAAATACCTCCCATACATCTTCATTGCCTGCCGCGTGAGGGCGAAGAAGCCCAAAACGATGACTTAATGAGGCCTTAGTTAATCTCTATCAGTCAATTAGCCCGCTGCTCTGCCTGACTGAAGACACTAAAGGGAATAGCAGACTTTCCATCAGATTAGCAAGGCTGGGAGTTATCAGCAAGGGACAGAGATGCCGATGAATCCTCGTCATTCAAAAACAGCATTAGATACTGTCTGATGAGTTTTCCACCTCAATTACACAACACTCACGTTGTCTCTCCCTTCATCTTTCTCTTCTTTAATGGATCTGTGTTCATCCATCAGTCTATCTGTCAAATGTGATATTTCCGGTGATTTCCCAGGAATGAGTTTAATGAAACTTGCAGACACATAGGCACTTTTAACTACTTAAAATTCTTAACACATAATGGTTGAATTAGTACATTACTTTGTAATACATCAAAATGTTGTTTTGATGTCTTTGAGATGCTGCTCCTACTTTGATAAACAATAGAATAATGATGTTTGAACTTTTTACACACCACTTGGCCCGATGTGCTCTATCTAAAAAGCAATTGAACTGCATGACACAACTTTAAAAGAATGCTTGATGAGGTGGGTTTGTGACAAAATTATGGAGGAGTGGTGGTAGGAACAAGGGCGTGTCCAGAGGCGGGGGCCTATTATCCTTACCTCTTCCACTCTGCACTGTCTGTCAGAGGCTGGTTTTAAGGGTAGAGTGATCATATGATACTAGATAACCTAAAGCACCCATTGGTACCAACCATGTCATGTGAGCAAGGCGGGAAGGCGGCTAAGTAATGTTCCAAAGTTAGGCTACATTTTGGCCATGGAAAAACTGGCATGGACATTTTCAAACTGATCTCTGATCTTGAGAACTTTTGTTGAAATCATTTAAGGAGCATGGAAATATGCAACTGCTTCAATGCCAGTTTGATTGTAATTTTTGAAGAGTTGGTGTATCTTACATTTGACTGATCCAATTAGATGGACCCTTGTAGGGGGCAACAATTTGTTTTCCCCCTATAACACTCGCACAAACACACTGATCCATGCCACACACACATTTCTATGGAATCCCTAAATGGTTATATATATATATTGTTTTAAATGAATCCTGTTATCTCAAGATCTTTTCCCATTTGTTTAAAAAAAGGTTTTCCCTCCTAGTGATTTTAATATGAGGGAATTTACATTATGGCCAATTATTGTAAGGGATAGACTTACGTACAGCGGGTTAAATTGGTGACCTGGCACACAAGCCTATGACGGACTTTGGGTGAGATAGATGATATCGACCCACTTTGGCCTCATAACAAGTCCCAGTTTAGCCCCTGCTGGTGCATAATCAAAGTGAGTTGATCCGATGGTAACCTGACTTTATCCTGAGATAACAAAATAATTAACTTGTGATCTCAAGATAATGGCATTAAAAAAAGGTTTAAATCCATGACCCTTTAGGGCTTCTGTACACTTCCCCTGTGATAACATTATCATATCTGCATCAGTACTGCACCATCTGTAATTTCTTAAATGAATTTCAGTTACACTTTATTTTTTCACATTTGGTAAATGGACCTGTACTTGTATAGCGCCTTTCTAGTCTTCCAACCACTCAAAGAGCTTTTACACTACATGCCACATTCACCCTTTCACACACATTCACTCAGTGATGGCAAAGTCCATCGAACAAAAACTAACATTCATTCATACACACTCACACACCGATGCACGGCATCGGGAGCAATTTAGGGTTCAGTATCATGCGGCACCAGGAGCCGGGGATCGAACCCACAACCTTCCGATTAAGGAACAACCTGCTCTGCCTCTGAGCCACAGCCGCCCTGCTGGCTTTTCTGTTTTTCTTTACCTGTGTTCTTGACTTTGTTTTATATTAAGATGCATTCTCTCAGGAGGTTTTAATTAAAGTTGTATTTAAACCATACAGTATACTCTATTTTAATTGTTTCTTGCATTAGAACAAACCAACAGAATTTAAATGGAAAATGTGACAAAGAGCCTGTGAGGAAGAGGAAGACAGAGATAAATTATTTTAAAACAATGACAGAGGGAGTGTACCAGTCAGTTCAGGCAGTGTATAGTATAAAGGAACAACATGAGGTCAGATAAAACTGTAAATGCCCTTTTATAACATCCAGAGTCACCATTGTCACTGTCATCATCTTTATAATGACTCTTCCATTGTGATATCATGCAATACAAAGCATGGTTGTCAGCTGGCATAGGCTATTGTAAGTATGAAAAAAAAAAAGGGAAAAAATGTAAGACTGTTATTTGGTCTAACAAAATCCTTTTTGGCTGATTAGCTTTCTTTTTTAGTTTGTATTTTCAAAAACAATGTTATCACTTACGAGAGAAAGGGGATTAGGATGAGGAGCATATAAAGGCTCAGGTAGCGTTGGCTGGGTTTACTGGAATGTAACGTAACATGCATGCCTCGTAGAAATGAGTTAAAGTTGCTCATTTTGTTGTGTTATCAAATAAAAGTTGGGTCACAGACACAGGCTCAGTATTATTGTAATCGATGATGATGATGATGATGATGTTCTCTTGTTCTTCCTTTGTAGATCTGGGACACTGCTGGACAGGAGCGTTTCCGGAGCGTCACACACGCTTACTACCGCGATGCTAATGGTAGGTTTCCCCCTGCGTTTGCCTGTGTGAGCCTGTTTGATCGTGACCGACATCGTTCCCTCAACTTTTTTTTATTTTCACCTGACGCAGCCAAACAGTTCTGACTGACGTTTCATTGCCCGTGTGTTTCTTCAAATGTGTGATTGGCACCAGCAGTGTCCCTCTTTCCTGTTGGGAGAGCAAACAACACTCAAGTTGCGGCTGATTTGATAGACTGGTGTGTGTGTGTGTGTGTGTGTGTGTATAGGTGTGTGTGTGCAGGTATTCACTGGAGGGTCTGTGATGTGCAGGTTCCCTTAAGCGAGAGGCTAACCACTGGGTGGGAAAATGAGCCTGCCTCTCACACAGCGGGGGGTCGGACAGCTATGAGCTATTCCCGTGTGTGTTCGCGAGTGTGTACGTGTGCGGCAGTTATAATTCGAACAACCCCACCGTGTACAGATAGCAGTGTGCCTGAGGCCAACCTGAATGAGCAGGTGTTGAGGAACACATGGACTGTCTCACACACACACACACACACACACACACACACACACGCGCGCATGCACGCTTACACAAACACACTGCTGCACAGACATGATCTCAAACAGGAATCTGTTCAGCAGCCTACAAAATAGCATTGTAATGGGCAGCTGTTGTGAATGTGTTCCTGTGTTATCTTTATGTATGAGTGTGTCAACTGCATGTTTGTACAGATGTGTTTTCAATGGGTGTATACATGTATGGAGCTGCATGTGTCTTCATTATCTGTAACAACACTTGTGTGCTTTTTTTCCTTGTTTCTCACATGGACTGGATTTCTCTGTACATGGACAAGTGTGTGTGTGTGTGTGTGTGTGTGTGTGTGTGTGTGTGTGTGTGTGGCTGGCCAGTTGCCCGGTGTTATTCTGATCTGTCAGTGCAACAGTTTACCCTCGCTGATCTTTAACAAGGCACCCAGGGAGCCTCGAACCAGCTCCTCCGAGTTGTCCGTCTGTTACTGACTTTTAAATAAAGCTCATTCCCGTCTGACGGGCAGGATCAGGAGAGAGGAAGCATCCCGAATGCAGCTGTCACGAAAGCTGTCAATTCCTGTGAACTAATGGACGTTTTTTTTTTTCTTTTTCTGTGAGTCAGACGTTGAAAGAGCCGAGTCAGAGAGCTGTGCCTGGTTTCTGAGCACCGACAGGTAGAAGTGAGCGAGTCCGCTGTCTAAAGAAAGACTAAACAATTATAGCGCCTCAACATGGATCTATATTCCAAAGCATGACGCATCGATTTTGGAGAGGAAAACACTGCTACAAGTTCATCATTTAAAAACTTGTATAGAGGATGAAGTCTATAGTTATTATTGATAAAACACTCATAAATCCTTAGAAGATCAGTGTGTGACATGTGCTGTCTCAGAAGACATTTTGTTTTCAAGTATTTGTCATTCTTTTCCATCTCCATGCGAAACATTGGCCAAGCACATATGCTCTGCTCTCTGTTACAGATATTTCTTTGGAGCTCCTCACTATAGCCAAAGTTTTCTGCCACCGAACAGCTCCGCTGCCATCTGCTATTAGTTGAGAAAAAGATTTAAGCACATAAGGTGCTAAACTGAAAAGTGTCCACAAGTCTCAATGAAAATGTCAAATCAACAGCCTGCCAGTATTTTTCAGAGAAACAGGAACATTTCCAGACTGCCGGTTATGTCACTACTCAAGCTAAAATGGATGATTGTACAACAAATGAGTTATAATCCATTGTCATTTCTTATGAATAGATGTCTGCTATGTGGGCCGTTTCTCTCTGTTGGAGGCTGATGTATACCCAGCGTCACACAGCGAAAATACACCACAGTGCTGAAAGCTTGGTGGCAAAGATGGAGACAAAAATATTATATGTACATGGGAAATTCCAGTTCTGTCACTTTGAAGTTTTGGTTAACATTCCTATTAGTAATATTACCATTGTACTCAACCTGTTAATTGCTCCGATGTGACATGGCTAAAAAAGAAGTTAAACGGTTGTGTATAGTTTTCCTGTTCAGTCAGGGATTATTACCAAAAACTTGGGTGTACTCATTTTCAGTTTCACCTTCAAAGAGTGCTTCAAAAATGTGTCTGACAACCTGAGTGCTCATGTCTGATGCCCTGTTGGACTTTTATGTAGCGATGCCACTGTGTTTCCAGACCTCAATTATTTTGGTGACTGCAATGGTATCATAACAGATTGAAATGATGGGCAAAACAATGAAAATAAGACCCAAGATGTAAATCACAGTTTTCTTTTAATAAGCTTCTTTTCTTTCTTTCTTTTTTTCCTTTTGCCGCTGGGAACCTCAGTTTCAACAAGATTAAAGATTCTACAGCCATGTTAGCAGCTCTGTGAGGCTATACTCAGGCACAACGGTGCTTTTGAGTTAACTGCTAATGATGTTTAGCAGGTATGATGTTAATCATCTTAATTTAGTGTGCTAGCATTTGTTAACCAGCATCTAACACATAATACAGGCCATAAAACTAAAGTGGACTGAATTGTTAAAGTTATTATTAATTATTCTGAGGGGAACATGAAGCCTAATTGCAGGCGTAAGGTGATCAAAGTCATTTTGGTATCATCCGAGAACCGTGAATGACTCTACAGAAACTGTGTAACAAACCATCTGGCGCATTCAGGTTATCAATTCGATGTTGAGACATTTCACTTGATTAGTGAAAATTATGACCTGCAGATGGTGCTACCTGAAAAGTATCAACAACGTCATTAAGAGTCATCCTCTGAAGACCATGGACATTCTGTGCCAAATGTTATGACAATCTATCAAATAGCTGTTAAGATATTTCAGTCTGGAGCAAGTAGAGGACAGACAGACAGTCTGACATTGCCGTTCCTAGAGCCACATGGCTAGCTTGGCTAAAAACACTGCAGCATGTAACGTTAACAGCAAAAGAAACAGCAAATGCCTGGCCCAGCGACAGCTCAGCTGTTGATAGAAAGTATTACATGTCTCGAAGAGACTTTGCCCCTAGACAGTTATTGATGTTTGTTTTATTCAGCTTTGGCCCCAGTCTTGGCTGTCATTAAGCCCTTAATGAGAGAGCAAGAAGTTCCAGACAATCAGTGCAAATGAGCTGGTGGTTGCAGTGAGCCCAGTGCAATCTGCCAGGCCCATCTGGTGTAGAGGGCGCCGCAGAGGTCCAGCTGGGTCCAGAAACCAGCCACAGACTTTTTTTTTTCCTTTCCCCAGAGGAGCTGACAGTTTGTCATTTCCACCACATGGAGCGAAACCACAGGGTGTTTAAAAAAAGAAGAAAAGCAGACTTAGTAGGGGAGACAAGTAACAAGAGGGGGGTAGACAGGAAAGGGAGAGATGGAGATATACAGTGAGAGAGGGGATATTGACAGAGGATGGAAGATGGAGAAATATTAGGTTAGATGAATTTAATTTATTAAATCAAGAAGGGGAACAAGAGGTTAGAACAAAGCAGTATAAAAAGATATAATATAAAAAGAACTAGACTTCAACACTTAGGTTGGTTGAGGCTGGAAGCACTGTGGAGACAAAAGGCAAGAGGCACGAATCCCCTAATGTAGAGAGAGACATCAGGATGAATAAAAGGGTAGAGTGAAACCATTGCAGAGCTTTCAGAAGCTAGAGTGGCATTATGCCTCAATAGCAGGCAGCACACTATAATGAGTACCAAGGAATTAAAGAAGAAAGGAGCTCAAGGATTTCATGCGTGCTCAGGTAATGGAAGAGAGTGAGTGCTTGTATTCCAGGCCCTTCATGGACTTATCCTTTATGACAAATGATGCGCGGGAATGCAGCTAATATTCCATTCCTAAGGAATCCCTATCCCTAAAAAAAACCCGGTCACTACCATTAACTCAGTTGTAACATAGATGTCACATTTGCAAATAATGGACATTTCAGCTCGAAATGAAAGTCTTCCAATGTCCTTTCCCATTACCTCTCCCATTACCTTATCGCAGGAAACGAGCCAACATGATGAATTTGAAGAAACAGAATGACGGAGTTAATAGATTTCATGGCACAGGTAATGGTCGCATTACAGATGACTGCTCCAAATGGTGGGTTATGATTAAAAGGGCTGTTCGGGGTGTATTGTTCAGAACGAGGTGCTTTGGCTGCTTCATTTCTCTGTAATGGCCTTCATCGCCTTCTCTTTTGTTCCCTTTGGGGTGAGGAGGGGCTTATACCACAGATCTCTTTTTTAATTATTAATGCTGTAGAGATGTGGGTATTTAGTTTTTTTTTATATATTTATGTTGTCACTTTAACCAAATTAGTTATTTGCTTAGCAGGATTGTTGTGTTTTCAACAAGGAGAAGGTCCCAATCCCCCAAGAGTCTGTAGCCATGCTAGCAGCCTGTGAGACTGCAAAGAAACCCCAGACTGTGGGTTAGTTAAAGTTGAGGGCCAAAATTTTTTTTTTACCTTTACCAGTCGTAGTGAAGTTAATTGTCATAACTGGCCAGATGGTGGTTTCAGCAACTTCTATCAGAAGGCTTTATCATCTGAGCATACATGTCTGAAGAGATGTGCGTGACATAATATAATCATAATATGTGTTTGAGGATGGTGTAAACAGTAAGGCTACACAATAATCAAAGCAATGTAGCAATATAGTTGAGGCTGATTGAAAATTAGTCTGAATTGTCATTAGTTTTGCAAGTATTTAATCATAAACTAAAGTTCTTGACAAATTCAAATTTTCACCTGATGATGGCGCTACATGAAAAGTCGGGGCATCACAAAAAGTTTATAAAGTCCTAGTTGCTTGTCAGGGGATCACAACATTATGATTCATCCTGCAACATGAATATACAGACTGTGCAATATTTCAGCGAAATCTATCCAAAAGATTTTTTAGTCTTTACAAAAGTGATGGACCGACTAACAAGAGCAAGAACCAATGTTCTCAACACTCCTGTGGAATATTCCTAACCCAGTGGTCTGAACATAACCGAATTATTATTTAACTTTCAGATATACTTTAAGAGTGTAGAAA